TATATTTAAAGAGTCGTTTTCTCTGAATTATATGTTCCCTGTATTTTCAGATGAGGTGATAATGGCATGTGGAGTACTTTTGGAAATAATCCAGGAGAGGGAGTTCATCAAGGAATGAAATGAGATTGACCACATGCTAAGGCTGGGTGAGAGTTACAGGAAGGTTCAGTTCACCGTTTTGGTAAAAATGTAGCAGCTTAAAAGCTCCTGGGTGGCTTTGTATCCATCTACCTGGAGGCAGGTGAGCTCAGGTGGTGGTTCTTGTTTATTTGAGTGGGGCTAGATCATTATGTCCCGAGGTGTTGGAAAATAGTGATATTCTCCTGAGGTTGTCATTCTTTGTCACCTATTAGCTGGGCTACTTTGATAGAGAGAAGCTTTTCCCCACAAATTATTTGGTCACCCCGAAAGAAAGTTTGGAAAGGCATGGCAGGTCAAAGGCTTTGTGACTTGGCTTTCTTCACCAAATCTCAGGAGATCTCCGTGACTCTTCACGGAGCTGCTCTGCTCCGTCTGCTGGACGTGACCATCTACGGACATCCATGTGGGTCAGCCCCGGGGCATCACATAGCATCTCTTCTGCTTTGCCCCCCGGAAGCCTGTGCTTTGAATTATAGTGTATGCCAAACGAATTGCACTTCTTATTGATTTATTTCCCCATTTTAATGAACAAAAGGCATATATAACTGCAGAGCAAAACTTCTGATCAGAAAACTAATGCTATCAAGATCAAGTGATACAATTCAGACCAAAAAAAACCAAAAAGATGTTCTCTTAGGCTTGTGGCCGATAAGATGTAGTTTTTGGCTTGGCTGTTAAGGTGTTGAAACTCTCACGTAACCCATATTGCTTTCCTCCCTTCTCCCCACCACAGAAGGCCATCTTGGGGCTCCTACATTGGCTCTGCGCTGAGTGAAGGTGCTCAGCAAAGTCTCAGTAATCGGACTAGTGGCTGCCGCTGGGGATGTTCTAGCTGTGAGGCCTCAGGAAGGGAAGGCTCCGAGGTCCAGCCGTCAGCGGCTCCGGGGACCAGGCAGCCCTGGGCGTCAGTGTGTCACGGGATTCAGTGGGTTCGCTTTTTCAGACAGCACGGATAGACATTGGGGCATACTCCGATTTGGAATTCCTCTGCTTTACAATTCCTCCGGCAGTGGGCAGTCCCATAACCACATATCCTGTCTGTGTCAAATTCACTTCTCGCTAAATAACAGAATAAGTCAGTGTGATTAATTGTGTCCCAAGGATGGGGAGGCGAGACTTTAGCAGTGGTTTTTGGGGAGAGTGACTGAACCAACGCACTGGCGAAACAGGCCCACTGCGGTGGTTTTCCTAACCACCCCCTCCCTCTGCGTTCCTAGCTGATAGACTCCACCATCCAGTTCTTTTCCGGCATGACTAAGACAAAACCAAACCAAACCAAAATAAAAAAAATTAGTTGGCGCTCATCACACCTCCTCTCAAAATCCCTACAACAGTTTGCTAATACTTTTTGGTTGAATCCAACTCAACCCCTTACCATGCGCTTCAAAGCTGCGGTGCTGAGCCCAGATCCCCTTCTACCTGGTGTGGGACCCCGGGCCTCAGCCTCCCCGGGGCGGGGGCAGCGCCGGTCTCCCTTCAGGGCCTGATGATCTTGACTCTCGATGCTTTCACTTGCCTGGCTTCCTCGCCTAGAACACATCTCTCCTTTGCTCATGGATGACCTCCCTGACCTCAGTGTCACGATGCTGGGGGATGTCTCCCTGGAAGTGCCTGGAACTGCTGTCCACCGTCTGCAATTTTTCTTTTCTTTTTTTTTTTTGGTTCTTGCATCACATCTTTCCCGAGTCGTAGTTACATATGTTTTTAGTAACCTCCCGATTGAATTCTAAGTTCCTCAAGTGGGAGACAGTGTTACGTTCCACTCACTATTTTACGCTCGCCCAGGACCCGATGCCCCACATGTGCTTAATAACCAACCACCTGTGGAGAGCATGGTAGGATAGGGTGGGTGCAGATGAAGCAGAAGCGACGTGAGCAGAGGAGGGCAGAACAGAACAGAGGAGAGGAGATACACCCCTGCTCACTTGGCCCCTGGCCTAGAGCGGTAAGTGGGGGATATGAGTTTAGCTACTCACAGTCCAGGGAGGGATCTCTGCAGCTCCCAGGAGCTGTATAAAGCTACGGCCCCTCAGGCACACAGCTGGTAACATCTCACAGCAGTGCTGGAAGCACGGTCCAGGCGAAGGAGAGGCGGACGGCGGATCCAAAGAGCCCCCCTGCAAGAACTGTGTTTGAGATGCTTCTACAGACAGGTGCCTCCTGCACTTGGCAAGCACCAGATTCGGGGAAGGATCTCAAGAGAACTCTGGGGACGGGGCGTCCAGGCTGCACGGCGGCCCCCTATGCAGAGGTCAGAGACTTTGGTTTCAGCTGCTATAGGTACAAAACCTAGAAGTCACCACTCCTACCTTTAAATAGGGAAAACTCTGAACAGACTGAAGATCAATGATTTTTCTTAGCCTTCTCAGGGA